TAATTTTTCGAGAAGCGGGCCTGAGGCTCGGGTTTTGCTAGTTTCGAGATTTCTGCTATTTCTTGGCTGTTTTTGATTGGGTATTGTTCCCTTGGCATATTGTAATGTATTCGCTCTGATTTTGGTTAGATTCGACGCGCGTGGAGGCCGATTCGAGGGGCAAAGGCGTCGCGAGCTAGAGATTTCACCGGTTAGAGGTGAGTAATACTTGTAAATGATATCCTGAGGGTTTGAAACCCCGGATTTGCACATCATAGTGCTGAAAGGTGACTTGCACACCGGATATGAGCGTGGGGTAGAGCACCGTTGGGAATTGTGACTTGGTCCGTCTCGATTGATGAAATTACTACGTATATGACTGAAACTACTTGTTATCATCATGATTTGGGCTGATTGCCATGTTTTTGGGCTTCGTGCCGATTATTTGAATCCTTCAGGGATTGATATCACTGTTTTTGCATTACTTTGCATGTTATTTGATCTCGGTTCAGGGTTTTAATACTGTTTTGCAAATTCAGCCATTTTTCATGATTTAAAAACTTAAATGATATTTTACTGACGTTTGGAACTGAGAACTGCTATTTTATTATTGCCCAAGGGGCTTATGTGCATTTCTGGACTGAGCATGGATCGGGCTGCGCGCCGCAGCAGTGTTATAGTGATTTCTGGATATATGGATGGCTCGGGCTGCACGCCGCAGCGGTGTTATATTGATATTGCGCATGGGCTGTAGGAGCCCCTCCGGAGTCTGAACCCCCACAGTGAGCGCGTGTACCCAAATGGATCGGGCTGCACGCCGCAGCGGTCATATGCATTGCATTGCATTCATACATTGGTTCCTGTTTGTAATACGTGTCATGACATTCAACACTCTCATTTCATTGGCAATCATGCTACTTCTTGCACTGTTTACCAGACGCCCTGGTGTTAATTGTTAGTGGAGTGCTGTGCCCGAGGGGCTGACTTATGTGCTGACATGCACTATCTGATTACGCATTCATTTGCTTGACTGTTGGAAAAGGATATTTTCAAAAGAGGTTTTTAAACTGAGCCAGATATTTTCTAAAGAATTTTTCACGGTTTTACTGTTTTCTCAAAGGATTGTACTGTCCTATATAGCATGATGGAGTGCTCTTACGTGATTTCTTGTCTCTCAGTTATTATTTACTCTTATTACCACTGAGTTGGAAGTACTCACTTTACTCCTTGCATCTCGCGTGCAGTTGCAGGTATTGTTCACCCGGTAGCGGGTGATTAGCGGACCGAAGGTAATACTATTGTAGCTGAGTAAGCTGACCGCCAGCGTTCGCGGCACCGGATGTTGTCTTTAGCATTCCAGAATTTATTTTTGTATAATATTGGCCCTGTAGTTGTGTTCAGGTTTCTTTAGATGCTCGTGACTTGTGACACCCCGGTCGGGTTGTGTTGGGTTGTAAATACTGGTTATTATTGTCGTTAAGCTGTATTTATCTATTCAGTTATGTTTAAAAATTGTTAAAGTGAAAGGATTTGGGTTAGTTGGTTGGCCTTGTCTTCACGAGAGGCGCCATCACGACCGGGTATGGAAATTGGGTCGTGACACATTGACTCATGGCTATGCGATTTGTTATGTCCATTTATTTCTACTTGGACTTATTTCACTTTGTTACTAACTGCCTCTTATAACTCAAGAAAAATATCTTCGCAGTCTTATAACAGATTAGGTTGTTTTCATATCAAACGATTTCCAGATCTGATCTTGTTCCATATAATAATTTCAGTGAAACTGAACCGTAGTCTCAGCGTGTTGATTTTCACCCGTCAAATAGCAAATATTAGGACGAGTTTGTATGTTCCCTCTCTTTTCAACTTGTATATCAGGTTATTTAATAGATAGTTGTACAGTAGAAGTTTCCTAAGAAAAAAATGTTTCTGTGCAAATCTTTAAAGATATCCAGCTAAATAAGACTATAATAACATACAACTTAAATGCAAATTTTATACAAAATTTATACAATATGTCTTTTGTATATTATGTATCTGATTTATACATAGTAAAAACAAATTTCATACAACTAATTATATATTATACAATTTATCTACAACCTTCACACATTATTTCTACCCGGTTAAATACAACTACAATAACATACAACTTAAATACAAAATTTATACAATATGTCTTTTGTATATTTGGTATCTGATTTATACATAGTAAAAATAAATTTCATACCACTAATTATATATTATACAACTTATCTACAATTTTCATACATTATTTCTACTCAGTTATATACAACTACAATATCATACAACTTAAATATAATTTTTATACAATGTTGTTCAACTTTCATACAATAGTTAAATAAATAAAAGAAAAATATATAAACAATAGAATACAATTTTTTTACAATTTTTCTATAATTTTACTACAATTTCTGCAGTATAATGTATGTTATGTCGTCTTCTTCTTCGTCTTCTTCTTCTTCTTCTTCTTCTTCTTCTTCTTCTTCTTCTTCTTCTTCGAGTTTCAATATGAAATTCAGCCAAAACCAAGTCTAATCTTCACCAAAACCCCTCAAAATTAAGATATAAACTCCAAACCATATTACCAATTGTTTGCAACAACACCCAATCCAAACAAATAATGATTTTTGAAAACACAAATTCGAATTCAAAGCTTCAAAGCTTTTTAATGGCTGTTAATGGTGGAATTGCTGCTCTCTTTCCCTGTACTTTACATTACTAAAATTAGGGATTGAGAGATAGAGAGAGACGTAGAGAGAATTTCCAATTCTTTGCAACAACATCCAATTCAAACAAATAATATTTTTTGAAAACCCAAGTTCGAAAGCTTCAAAGCTTTTTAATGGTTGTCAATGGTGGAATCGTGGGTGGGTGCAAGATACGTGGGGGAATGGGGTAGGATGTGGAGAGAGAAACGTGGGGGAGTGGAAGATATGTTAGAGTAATTTTAGGACACTAATTATTATCATTAATTCCCTTAAAATGTACATAAATGATAATTGGGTATATAAAATATAATTATAGTAAAACTTGAGTAGGGAGGGTAATATAGTTTCATATAGTGTATATGAATGTAAAAATTATTTGTAAATTACTCCTTCCATCCCAAAATTCTTGTAATTTTCCCTTTTGGATAGTCAATTTGACTAATATTCGTCCTCCAATTGGACTAGATAAATTTAATATTTTAAATTAAAATTTAAATATTTAAAACTATTTTAAAAATATTACTACTATAATTTATAATTTTTCTCACATTAATATAGTAAAAAAAAATACATGTTGAAATATTGGTCAAAATTCATGTAATTTGACTCTCGAAAATCAAAATTTGACAAATAATTTAGGACAGAGGGAGTATTTTTTTAACAATTTGATTCATTATTTTTAACTCCAATTATAAATAAAAAAAATTGAGGTTGCATCCAAGGTTGTAGTCTAATAATCAATTAAGTTGAGGGGATTCATAAAGTCTTAAGTTTAAATCTCAATTGAGACAAAAACACTAGGTTATATCTTTCCATCTTTCAACAAAAGATAAATAGCATAAAAGGAACCAACATTTATAAGCAGAATTTTGGCCAATAATTGCAAAGACAATTATCATAATGGATTTGTTTTTCTCATTTAATTTATTTGATCACACATCCATTTTAGACATGTAGCATGCATGCAAGATTTAAAAAATAGTATTGGAGTTGAAACTTATTTGTTTTGTTCACATATCATTTTGGGCATGCTTGCAAGACTAAAGCATTGGCCATAAAATATCTGGAAAATAATCTCAAGAAAATAACCATCTCTTTGCCACCATGTGAAACAATTCATCTCTAGTTTTACTATATATTTGTTGGTGATAATATTTTTTTTTTAAAATTCTTTTATTCCTCAGAAAAAGTTAGCCAAATAAGGCTTAGAAGATACTTTGTACAAATTGGCAACTTGCATCACAATAGAGTGAAAAGCTGTCAATTTATAAATTGTCAACTTGCATGTGAATAGAGGTTATCAAAAAATAAAGGCTACAAATTTAAGGCCTTCTTTTATGAAGATCTTGACTTCCACACAACCTACTCCAAAAGTAAAGGTCTTATCTATTTCTCCATCTTGAAAAAAAAAAACACATATATTGGGGAAAAAATCACAAAGTTAATATTTTTTTTCTTAATATTTTGGTAATATATTTCTTGAAAATAAAAACTTCTTTTTTTTTTTTTTTGGGTTTTCCGCCCGGTATCTGATACCTATATTGGGACCCAACTAAATTTAAACTCATCTAAAGAAATTTCAAATTGAGAGTAAAGCGCTCCCCAACAAAAAATAAAAACTTATTTTATCAGAACTATATTTAACGAATGTACTAAAATTTCAAAATTAAAAAGCAGGAATTCAGTCCCAAAGTCAATCTTTCTTTCCATTTTTTAACAGTTAAGCTTGGTTATAGTGATTATTACTTTTATTTTAAGTGCTTTTAAAATGTCACAAGACATCTTATTGTACTTTTGATGTAGTGTTAATATATGTAATAATGTTGGAATTTCACCTCAAAATTTATTGAGGCATTAAGCTAACACTGAAATACTTCCTCTGGTCCATAATAAGTGACTTTTTGGCCTTTTTATTTTGGTCCAAAATAAGTATCCTTTTACATAATCAAGAATGAATTAATTTTATATTTTCAAATTTACCTTTATTTATATATCCCAATGCGTTAAGTAAACAATATGCAAATTTTAACTAAGGATAATTTAGTCAAAATACTTACATTTTCCTTAGGAGTTAGCATTTTCTCAAGAAGTGTCCCATAGGCCAAAAAGTCACTTATTATGGACCGAAGGTAATATGATTTTTAGTTATGATAAAGACAGTAAAAGAATTGGTTAAGAATCTTTGTTTATTCAGTAAGAATTTTGTTTCACTGTGCATAAAGCAAACTTTTGTACCTAAAAAGTATTGTATAGTACCTGGATTCTTGGATTCTAATATGTTCTTGCTTTTGATCTCAAGACAAAGGTATTTTAACTACATCAACTATAATCCTCATTACAACATTTTCATAAGAACTCTATATAGTAATGTGTTATGTTCTGTGGCAATAAACAAGCAGATACTAGCTAAGGTGTACAAATGCTCATTACAAACAAAAGGAAAAGAAGCAAAATTTAGCTACACAAGAAAGAGGTATAAAGTTGGACAACAATATCCATAATTGATTCTTCAAGAACATCATCTGTGACTTGAGTCAGAATATCTTCAGCGTCGTTTCTGATATCGAGCCATGAACCAGATTTCGCCAAAGCTTTCTCAACATGGTCATTCAGTGTTAGTTGTTCCATTACTGGCATAAGGTGTTGTCTCACTTCTTTCATTATACTTTCCACTAGAAAATTTTCCGGTGGAAAGGACAAAATTTTAGGCTGAAGGAATGATAGCCATTGGGGAAATCTGAAATGAAAATCATATGCTTCTAGTAGAACTTCATTTGTGTAGTCCATCAGGAGTTTAGGTTCAGAATCACATTGCAGTGCTAATGTCTCCAGTTCATCAGATAACGTTGCATCGATCATTTGTTCTGTGATCATTTGTTCTGAAAGAGGCCTATTTAACCAAAGTTCTTCGCAGTTCAAGTGAAGTGTTTGCAAACTTGACTGAATATAAATACGAAGGGCATCTGGTTCAGCGCGATTCAGTATGGTATTTTCAGGGAATTCCTTGTTCGAACATCCCTCAAAGTTAATACGACGTGGTTGTAATGCAGTGTCAGCTGCAAATATTCATCAATTACTTCAAACTACAGTCTAATGATAGAATGAGAAGATAATAGATTTTACTGTTATAGCGGATAAAGTTCAGTGGCTATACGTGTAAGAGCATATGTGAAATTAAACCGAAGCTTTTGTGTTACTTACATGGTTGATTTCCAGAAGGGCTGGCTAGATCATCAGTAAAAACTGGTTCCAGGACTGACACTGGACTTGAATGATCTCCTCTGTCCATATTGTTGTCAACAACCCTTAGTTTGAAAATGCTAGATGGACTCGACGCCGAAACATCCGTTGAAGAACCAGGAGACCAAACTTCTGAAAGTGAATCCTGAAGAGGTTGGTGCAACAGGATTAAGTCCGTTCTATTGTTATTAGGCTAAGTGAAAAGGCAGAAGTAAACAGAAAACAAGTAATACCAAAACATTCTTGCAATATTCCAACGACATGTTTTGTGGGAGAGGATGCAGTACTTACCACCATTGAGCTATTCAGATGCCAGTGACACTTGTCTCTTTGAGGACTTTGAACAACAGTAAGGGCTGGTTCAACGGGAAGTTCCACTATAGTTGTATCTGCCGGAGGTGAATGTTAAGAACTTATAATTCTAAAGGACAATGTGCATAACAAGATCAAAGAACTCGCAAGTAAACGGAACAAAAACTTACCATTGGGCCTAATTTGTGCAGGATTACTTTCGCTGTCCTGTTTTGAGCTATAGTTGAACAAACGATCATGTTCAGGCGAGGAAAGAATCCTTTCCAATGTTCTTGTTGGTTGTCTGCTCATCACATCCTCACTTGTAGTATTGACATAATTTAATCTTTGAGAGAGATGTCTCTTTGCCTCCATAGATATATCCAGTTCCCGTTTCTTGGTGTAGCTTATGGTTGACACGTCCAATTTTTTACGCACTCTTTCACTCATAAGGGAGACTTTAGCTGCGTGAGTTGATGTGGATTCTTGTTTATTCTCTGCCTCGTTCTTGATGTTTGATTCGGTGGAAGAGTTAACAGGTCCTGCAATAGTAAGCCGTGATCTGCCCCCTTCATTATCAACTCCTAAGTTCTGCTTGTCGTTAATGCTATGAAGCCTATGTAAAGTACTTCCTACTGAACTCAAATGCTTCTCTTTCCATTTTTCTCCCATTGCATCCTTCAGTTTCCTCTTAATATCTTTGAGAGAAAAGCTCGTGCGCTTGACATTTTCCCCTTTACTACTTGAGCTACGATGAGACTGCATAGACGAGCAATGGCAGGCAACATTTTCAGAACATCGAACAGTTCTAGGAATTGGCTTCAAAACAACTATTTTACTTGAAGGCCGGGGGCTGGAACTTTCTTTGGATGCGTCCCCAGATCGCTGATGCTTCTGTTCACTCTTCCAAATGTCATTATCACTACTCTGATCATCTGATAGTTTATTACTCATGAGGGACTTGACTGAATCTCTGGCCATTTGCACATTTTGCAAGCTTCGGATTTGCTTTACTAAAAGTGAATTAGGATCTTGTAAGAGTTTCAGAAACAAATCTCCATTTGAATTTAACATCTCTAATGCGTCCGAGAACTGTTCAGGCTCATAATTCACACGACCTTTGCTGATATAATTCCTGTCTATGAACATCTTATCGATAAATGCTTTGGCACTCGTCTGAAGTACCTGCAAACTGATCTCATCAAGTTGATCATTACTTGCATGAATTTGACTGCAAATAGCTTCTAATAGGGATGCCAAGTTTAACTTATTGATCGACATTTCTGCTGAACCAGAAGCCTGCTGAAAATCCCCCGTCTTAGTATCCTTCCAACCGTATAAAGGTGATTGATTCGTTCGGCTCTTCTTTGATGATGGCTTGTATTTACTTATCATATGATCAAATAGTCCATAATCTACTTCTTTATGTTGCACATTTCTAGCTATGATTTGAGTATTCTTTTGCATGCTACCGGAAATTTCTTCTTGAATGAAACTCTTCATCCTTTTATCACCCGTGCAAACTCCTAAAGCTTCCATTTCAGCTCCATCCTGAGGCAAACAACTCTCCAATTATAACTCTTACTCAAAAGTTGCAATCCTTTCTGAATTTAGGATAATATGCTGTTCAGAATTTAAAGGGCAGCCCGGTGCACTAAGCTCCCGCTATGCGGGGTGTTCGGGGAAGGCCGGACCACAAGGATCTACTGTATGCAGCCTTACCCTGTATTTCTACAAGAGGCTATTTCCACGGCTCGAACCCGTGACCTCTTGGTCACATAGAGGCAACTTTGTCAGTTACGCCAAGGCTCCTCTTCATACTGTTCAGAATTTGAGGTATAAAATTCTATGGAGATGCCAATCAGAATGATTCCTAACACTATCCACGCACAAAACAAGAACTATTCAACAAAGTTACATTTTTTTGCAGGAACATTACTAATAGAACTGCCTAAGTTCTATCACCACATGCTCTATTACTGTAAGAAAAAAGATGTACGATCAGATCTCTCTATAACAACATCGCTATATAATAGTCATTCACTATAAAAGCAAAATATTTTATGGAACCAATTTTCATACTATGTTATAATATATTTTCTTTATAACAACACTTCGCTATGACATTCAAAAAAATTCAGAACAAATGAGGCTGTTATAGAGAGAGTTTATTCTCCAAATGGTGTCCAAATAAGTTTTGACATAAGAGCTGAGTCTAGAAAGTTGACTTATCCTATGCTAGAGACTTACCTCAAAGCCATGAATTTGGTCACTGAAGTAAGTTAAAGCATCAAGCTTTCTTGGATTCTTGCCTGCAGAAGGATAAAAGCAAAGATCAAAACCACCAAGATTGATTAATTTCACTATTGAAATCTAATCCTAACATAATTAAACAGACCACATTACACTAAGGAAGGTTTAATAGGTTAGCTTCACTTTTGGATTAGCCACAAAAGCATTTAGGGAAGAATTTTAGCTGTAAGCACAGACAGACAGATGTAAAAAGTATTTACACAATCAGGTCACTTACATTGTAATTACAAGCAAATATCTATGATAGGCATTACATTGTAAGCCGATAAAAATGGTAACTAATATGCTATAAGAGGTCAAGCTACATTGAAAAATGGCAGTTCGGTACACTAAGCTCCCACTATGCGTGGGGTCCGGGGAAGAGCAGGACCACAAGGGTCTATCAAATGCAGCCTTACCCTGCATTTCTGCAAGAGGCTGTTTTCACTGCTCGAACCCGTGATTCCTGCATTCTCAGCTGGTGCTAGAAAAGAATGAGCAGTGGTATTAGGAAATTGAAGAATTGTTACCACTTACCTATAACATTCTTAGCTGCAGTTTTCCCATTTGAAAGCAGCTTCTGTTTCCTATGATTTTGACCAATATAAAGGCTGCTGATCAATCCCCACATACAATTAAGCTGACTCTTCTCTGTCTGTTGTTGATTTCTTGATGATCTCTTCTTCTCCATATCAAATAAACTTTGCTCAATTATCAGTTTTCAATATCCTGAAAATTGGAAATAAAATATAAAAAAAAAAAAACATTTAGCATTTGAAGCTGAAACAAAGCTTCTAAAACATAACTGCACTATTTTGTGTCCAGAGTTATTCGATACCTGTACTGATAAGAGATAACTGGTATCCTAATTAACCAGTCGATTTGCACGCAAGTTGGACGGGACACCACCACTTAGAAAAACCATAACTGGAATTCATCCAATGCTCACTTGATTAGAATAAACCATTCTTCTCAAATGTGTTCATTCTTCCTTCTAAAAATTCAAGAAAGTGTCTTGAAATGACATTAACATTAACCCCTTGAAAATTCTTGGATTAAATCTCACTAAAAACTGAAAATTTAGGAGCCAAAGTTGAGTTCTTGGAATTCTTTGGAGATGAAAAAGGAGAGAAAAAACAAGGCAAGAGTGAGAGACAAAAGGAGCATCAAAATGAGGAAGAAATGAGATTTTGTTTGCTTGTATTAAGCAAAATGATGTTGACTTATGTTACCTTACACAACTATATACTGTTTTGTCTCAACCACTATTACTCCCATGAATTCCTTTATAACAATATCTTGTATTTTTATTTTTAAAATAAAAATTAATAGTGTTTATATTATTTTTTTAGTGTACAATTATTCTAATTACCTGTTCTCGTTTTTTATTATTGTGTGTCAGACATGAAGACAAAGGTATGTGTCTGTTACTGTTGAAAACACTGAGTCAGAATTCAGAAACTGCGTTCCAAAAAAAAATTAAAAATTCAGAAACTGTGTTTTAAAAATGTATTTTTCAAAGATTCTTTTTCTTTAAAAAAAAATAATTCATTTTCTTTTTTTCGTTCTTCAGAATTTGACAGAAATACTTGGGCAAGTTACATATTTGGCTGATCGACCAAAAATAATTACATCCGCTAGCTAATATATAAAAAATATACATTAATAACGTATAAAATATGTATATATTCTTATACTATACATTGATATATACAAAAATATATACATTTTATCGGAAACTTGTCTTTTTTCTAGCCACTCGTTGTTTGAAATAGCTTGTGTTTATAATTTTATGATCCTGTTAAAATATTGGTTAAAAAAATTATCCCCTAAAACGGGATGTCTTCTACACCGAACTACCCTTTATTTTAAAATATTTATCCCTTGATAATATTTTAAAGAGAAAAAAAAAATATAAACATAATTTTTCATAGCTTAAAATATTCAATAAAAGGAGGGGCCAAAAAAGAATTGTCCAAATAAACATTGAATTAATATTCCTCCACCAACCAGCAATATAAAATTATTGAGTATCTAATCAATTTTCCCTAAAGAACTATCTTTTTCACATAAATTCACATATTATTGCATGGCTTCCTCAATATTTTATAGTTATAAAAAATATATAAAAATGGGTTTTTTGTATATTAATGTCGGTTAGTAGGGATTTCTAAAAGTTTTTCTGGTACGTATTCTTCTGATTGTTTCTTATATAGTACTGGAATATCACTGTTCACTAATGTGGTTGATATGAGTCTAATTAATTTCAATTTTTAATTAAGCATTCCTCGCGAATAAATGCTTAAATAGACTTGAGTAAAATTATAATCACTCTCTCTGATAAGCAAATGAATTAAAAGATTAACCTAATTTTACATCAAGACACGATAGTTTATCATGATTAAGTGATGAACTGATGCATAAATTTATATTACCTAAATTTTAAATGATTAAATTTTTTGTTAAAACAAGTTGTTAAAAAGGCCTATAGATCCCTACATCTTATATCTTGACAGTCCGCCCCATATTACACCTACATTGTTAGGGTATTATGACAATCAAAGCCCGCAACCAGCTTCTTTTTGTGTGTGCGTCTCCGAACTTGTAAGGTTAAACGAACCGAGCCTCGCACCATCACTCAGCCATCGCCATACTCGTTTCGTTGAGCCTGGGCTCTTATACCGTTGTTGGGATCAACCAGCCCCAATTAGATACTCTTAACATGGTATGATATTGTCTGCTTTAAGTCAGGCCTGCTTTGTTTTCTCGAAAAGGCATTCCATCGTCTTTAAGATATCCATACACTTTATAAGTGGCTCCCAATTTTGCAGCTACCAATGTGAGATTTTGTTCGCACACTTGACACACCTTATTAGTATAATTTATGCATTTAAGATTTGAAAGAATTTTATAATGGTTGTGCCGCGACTAGCTTGTTGCACCACGACAGTTTCACCAGATACACGTTACCTCTCACTAGCACAATAACAGGTAACTCTGCGCACTGAAGCTTAGGCAGATAGGAAAAATTATCTCAAGGAGAGATATGATAAATTACTTAGTGTGAACATTTTCTTTTTTAATATTACACTGCAATATTACGGGATGTAAAGCTACTTACAATTTCTCCTGTTAACCAATCTTTGTTATAAAATATTATGCTAGTATAAAATATTTACCGTTTTTGTGTATATCAAATCTGCAAATGTGAAAACATTTGATAATAGACACAACCAATAAGATTCCATTGTTGTTGACGTTGTTGCTCTTAATGAAAAATGTTTGTATCTTAGTATGTTTTTTAGCAAAATATGCACAAAATACATAGATGGAGACACCATATAGGATTCCCAAAATCCTAAGGCAAATTGACACTAAAAAGAATATTGACAGTACAAATATGTTATCTCTAGACAGTCCTTTAACTGCGTCGGTCGTGTAATATGGGGCGGAGCTAGAAGTCCGATTATGGGTTTCGACCGAATTCATTAAATTTTGATCAAATAGTGTATCGTATTAAGAAATTCATTAAATACGGACAAATTAAATACTAAATTTAGAACTCATAATATGGTTGTTGGTCTAAAATTTCGAATCGATAAAATTAAAATTCTAGCTCTGCTTCTATGCACAATCTTAGGATCCCAAATATTAGAGGTCTTTTTTTATTATCTTTTCAATTTTCAATATAGTGTACAAATATTTTACTTGAAAATTTTGTTATATTGGAAGCAAACAAACAATTATAGGGACCACATTCCTCCACTCTAATATACCACTTGAAAATTTTCATTTATTACTGTTTTTGACTTTTCTTTTATAGTCTATTCCATGTTTTAATGATTTTGTGTCTCTCCTACAACCACTACCGTTAATATGTGTATATATGCATTATATTCACTCCATTTTTTCTCGTTTTCTAGTGTTTTTTACTTCACATGAAAAGTCATAAGTATATTCATATCTCATGAAAAGCAAACAGGCAAAAAAGTATTTACGTAGTAGTAGTAATTTTGTAAAGTAAACGGCATTTTATTCGTTTACATATATTATCATTCTAAATAGGCAAAATGGCCTAAATGATACCTATACTTGTGTCACTTTGTCATGCCGGTCCTCCTACTTTATTTTTTTTCATCCAGACACTTTAACTTGTTCAAAATTTATATTTTAAACCCTTCTGACCGTTGACCAAGTAAATATGGCAAAATAATGGTTGAGCTGGACAAAGTGGGTGTAACTTACGCGGATAATGAGCGTGACTATGAACATTTTGAAAAATAATTAATTAAAATAAAAAAAATCATTAAAATAAGAACAAAAAATAAATAAGTAAAAAAAAAAAAAAGCATTCTGT